ACGTTTAACTAGTATCAACAATTTTATTTTTATTTGCCAGGTTCATGTAGGCGCAAATAGCCTATTTTTTTTTAGGGGGGGGGACTTGAAGCCTTAAAGCCTGCCCCCTCCTATAATATTTTCTAAAAATTATATTTGCTTAGTTACGAAGTACTGACTTTTTAATTGGTGCTACTCGTAAGAAATTTATTGGGGAAAGTCCCTCAAGCCCCTTTATTTGTATTTCAGTTTGTATTTCAACTCTCCTTTATCGTAGTTCGTAATTAGAAAATAATTCTAAAAAACCAAAATATGCAGGAAAGGACAAAAAAGTAGGTACCTATATAATAAATATATATTTTTTTTTTTGATTATACATACGACAAGAAATTGTAATGTCTTATAATAGTAATAATTCTATACGCCTGTAGCGACTACTTTTAGTTAACAATTAAGAAAACACACTTTAACACAGCAGTTATCGTATGGCACCGAGATATCTACACATTCTATAGTTACAGCAATGTTATTATAATTAATTGAAATATAATATTAAAATGATATGTTTTCAACGTATTTATTGATATGGTAATAATATTATCAACCGACTTTTGTACTTTTTATATTTTCCGAGTAGTATGTATAGTACGAGTACAGCCTACATATAAAATGTATAATACAATGTACAAAATGTTACTACTTATACTACTATATAAATAATATTTGTATTAGTTAATTACCTACCAATAGAGGTTACCTACCTATTCAAACTTATCATTAATCATCGAATATGCTCTATAAGATGGTAAAATTATAAAATATGTAGACCTTAAAACCACAAAATCACTACATATGCAAAAATATGCACTATATAAACTTTGAATTAAAAATAAAATTTGTATATGTAATTTTTAGATTTTTTGGTAAAAAGGTACCTACATAATATTATATTTGTTGACAATTATTTTTATAAATAATTATAATATTTGATAATATGATATAGGTAATGTTAATAATGTAAAGAAAATTAGATAGTTTGAACAGATTGCGATTTATACGTTTGTGTATACTTGAATAGTGTTTTACTAAATAATTTTATTTAAATATAGTATAACTTCCATATAGAATGAACTTGCGTTTAACACATTTTTCCGTTTAACGAAATATAAACCGCAAATTAGAACCAAATTTGTTCAATTTAATTCAACGAAATTCTCTATAATACGTATTTTTTTTTTGTGATCCGTGAGACTTCGTAATATAATGGAAGTTTCACTAGCTGTATGCCCATATGTATAGGTACTATATAGTTATATTTTTATTAAGTTTTATTTCTACATTTATGTATTTATCGATGTTTTAGTTGAAGATAAAAATACTTGGTGTCGTGGCAGACCAGAAAATATAATCTAAATAACCAATACCTACATAAATTAATAATGTCACTACTGTACTTATATTATGTAGTGTATAGGATATAGTATAACGTAACGTAAATTGCAAATAATATTTACAGTAATGCAGTAGGTAGTAAATTAATTACATTTTATTTAACTTATCGCAATTGTAACGAAATTACTCATTAAAGTGCCTGCACGTGTCCTGTTGTTTTGCTCAAAAACATTCCAGAAATAAAAAGCATAATATTTTGCTCAAAACTGCAAGCTTTACGGAAGTAATCCAATTTCAGTAATTTTTTTTTTTTTTTTTGAAAGAAAAACAATTCTAAAATAAAACTTGGATTTTTAAAATTATACTTCTAGATCATAAATTAATATGGTTTTGAATATGACCAATTTTCACTAGCTTTTGATATTTTTATTATGTTTGTTTTAAGTAACGAAATTAAAAATCACACCCTGTGTGCCCTGTAGAAAATTATTCTTTTTCTAACGAAATAAATATTAATCAAATGAGACCACTCTTTGAGGATCGAGAGCATTTCCTGTGTAAAGCGTTTTTGAGCAAAAAGAATGTTTGGCTGACGCACAGTGGTTCAAAAATGATAATAGTTGGCCAAAATTCTAATTTTCACAGAAATCTTATAAAATGATCTGTTACTTACAGAATAATTATTATAAAAATAATTCGTATTCGTATACCGACTTAACGGGCCTCCAAGCGACCTATTTTTTTCTCAAAAACATTTTTTACAGAAAAAACTGTCAATCCACGTAAAAAAACCGATTTCGAGGGGTTTTTTTTTGGAGAGAAACACTTCTTACAAAGTGCATTTTACTTAAATTTGATGTAATTTGAGGAATTAAAGCCATTTTAATATAAAAAAAACTGCATAAATGTAATTCAATCAAATATTGCTTATAAATAAGCCTGTCCAACTTCAAGTGCACACTAAAACGAAACGCGCAAATACGAGCAACTAATAATGATAGTTTTGTAATCAGTACATCGTGGTCTAAATGATGGTGTATATATCGCCGTGTAATTTGATGAAAAACATGGTTAGATTTGTATGTTTTTAAAAGTGAATAGGTTTATATCGTATTATTTATGACATTGTTCATTTCAATTGATAAATTGATAAATACTTTAAAGTTATTTTATTTTATTTGTTGTTGAAAATTAAACTATATGACGAATAGTGACAAAATATCATAATAATTATGAAAAAAACTATATTTTGTCCACTTCAATTATTATTTTATTGGTATTGCTAATATTATTTTGCAATTCGTTTTGCATAATTATTTACTTTGGTTATTACAGAAAAATATTTCTGCTATCTTTATTTGATTATTTTCAAATTCAAAATATCGACTTTTGGCCAACTATTTTCATTTTTGAACCACTGTGTGACGGTGCCGTTGACATGGCCGTGCTTAAATAGCTCGGTAAATGCAAAAAATGCACACTAAACTTACATCATTGAGGACTAACACAAATTCCATGGGCGGCGACAACGAAACTGTATAATATTGTCTAAATATTGCCCCTTATTAAAGACACACGAGGATGCCACTTAAAAGGAATTTCTATGGACAGAGTTAGTGACGTGTTATTTTCTATGTCACTAAAATGAGTAATGAATCAAGAATGCATGACAAAATGTATTGGATGATAGAATATTGGAGAATCAAAATTAAAAATCAATTATTTTATGATTAAACATATTTTTTTAACGAAAAAACATCGTAACGTCATAAAATATATAATGTCGAGTAACGCGAATAATAATAATAATAATAATAATTTCTTTATTGCTAGTTAAAATATTGTACAGGTGTTAGGTGAAAAATATATAATAGATAAAAAAAACGTATATCGAAGAGCAAGAGTACTTAATCTTTACTTGTAGCTAATCTCAGGGAGGGACAAAACAAGAAAAAATAAATAATAATTATTAGGTAATCAAAATGTACAGTAAATTACTAATATTAAAAATAAATAAAGTAAACAATAAAATTAAATAAATAAGCGCTCCATACATTTTTAAAAGTAGGTTAAAAAACAATATAGCATTTATAATTTATAAGGATAAATTATAGAATAAAGTACTTATTTTTTTATCTGCGATTACTACAAAATATAAACATTTTTTCTACAATTTTTTAGTTAATACAATTTGTCATGAATTATTATGAAACCATTTTTTTTGGATTCAGTTTAAAATGAAAATAATTAATACAATTTCATTAGGGATCATATCTGGAGACCTCAAACCAACTTGTAAATATATTTTATTGCAGTTTTTTTTATTATTTTTTTTATGAATTGTGTTTTGAAAAATGTTTTCCTTGTGTTGTACACTTGTAGGTACCTAACGTTCTTTAGATTTAATTGTACCTATTTGTTTTAAAGATATAGCAAAAGGTTTGTTTTTTGTATAAGTTACTAATATCTAATACACGTAAGTGCAATTTAAAAAATTCAACCGAGAGAACAGTTTTAGATTTCCGTTGGATTATTTTTATAACATTTGTTTTGTGGAACTGCTAAGTTTAGTATCGATGTAGTGTTACAACCACCGCAAGCGATTGTTCCGTACTGGTTTAATGATTGTACCATACCAAAGTAAGTTATTTTGATTATAATAATATTATGAGTATTTGTTTGCTGTTAGAAAAAAATATGTAAGTCGTCTTAACTTTATTACATAATAATATTATTGTTCATATATTATTTAATGTAATTAAAATTAAAATATTTAATCTAACGAGTGACGTAATTTAATACTTTTCAATAGTAATTCACCCAACACTGATTTATATTATGGTTTTACGTGTTTGAGTTAAAATAATGTAGCCGATTTGGCGGTAGGTACGAGTTAAAAAATATATTATTATTTTTGTTCGTTTTCCAATAACCGGGTGATGACAATGCACGAAACCAAATACCTACTACTACAGGTTATTACTAGTAATACTAAATACTAATAAGTAATAACTAATGGGTACCTAATTATTAATTTACTAATCTCTAGTATTATACGAAACTACGAAATGTTCGGAAACAGAGTGCTGGTGTCCAACAGGACGGTAGAAGTATTCACCGACAACCCGCCGCCTATCAACACTTGACCCACACCGCCGCCACCGCGCACCGCGATCACAACAACTTAATATTTTATTTTTTTACGCCCAGTGCGCGCGCCGGGCGGCGTGCCGTGTGTCCTTGGGCCGTTGTTGTGACAAACGGTGAAGAATATTTAACAATATTACGTTAATTCGGTGGAAAAAGAAAGTCACCGTGACCTCCACACGCGCGTGCGCACCGGCTCACTTCCGAACAAGCCAGACACGCTCTGTCGGCGGCGGCCAATCGCATGACCGAACGACCGCCTACGCCGCCGCCGAGCCGCGAGCTTGGCACAGTGTGTGGCGCCAGGCTGTTCACCAGAGTCCAGCCGCTATCGGCAGCGTTCGTATCGCCGTTTTTCTGTGCGCACAAGCGGTTTCGGTCGTCTACGGTTCGCGCGTCAGCTGGTTAGCCGACTCGCCTGCGATCCACAGGTCGTCGTCGGTGGTTGTACCGATCGGTGAGAAAAAATTCCACTGCGCGACATGGAAGAGGTGCGGGACCGCAACAACAACATTATCATTTGCACACCAGAGGAGATCGAAGAGAGACGCTTGTGGTTCCAACGACACCCCCCAATCTGGGAAAACATGGAACACCCGTCGACGTTGAAATTCGAAGGTGAAGACGGTTTGGACTCAGTGAGACTCATGGAATTTTATTGGCCCTTGGTGCAAGCTTATAAACGTACAGCCCGTCCTATGTCAGTACGCCTGCCAAACGGACGGATGCATCATTTTTATGACCGTTTGTTTAAACTTTAATTTTATGAACGCCATATTATAATGATCGAATAAAAACCTGTCTCATCTAATGAATCATCTGATTTTGTGTACTTGTATTGATTAGTTTTACCTACCTACGACCTACCTATGTGGAAAAATGTAATACAAAAACAAGTGTTTGAAGTTACCTCATTTTGCTCAGATTCTAAATGAAATTGGTACCTTATTTGCTCAAAGAGTAAATGATATAACCTACCTATATGTTATATTGGCGATATCGCAGCCGACCGGTAAGTAGAAGGTGCCTTTAGTAATTTTGTAAAAATTTGCCTATTCTGCTTCTTGAAAGAATGTATAAATTAATATCAAAATTATTATACAACTCAACTATGACTTCCATTGACGACCACCCCATCCTTTGCAATATGCAAAACAACCTATATTTTGTTTCATTATTTTAACCGTGTGTAATGTTTATAATATGTACACACTACATACACACTTGCTTATTATAATGATCGAATAAAACCTATCTTTTCTTATTAATGATCAGTGCTAGTGCACATTTATTGATAAATTGTACCTACATATTTGAAATATCTTATAACAAAAATAAATGCTTGAAATCATTCCTCACAGAGTAAAATATCATAAAATACCTTAAGATGGGGTAACTTTGATAATTTTTTACTGTAATATGATAGTTTTACTTTTTATTTCATGGATAACTTCTGTAGTATTAACGATACAACTCTCAAAATTAAATATTAGTTACAGCTAGTTATGATCAATATTTTAACGTTTTAATTTTAAATTTCTGATGTTATCTTTTGAGATATAAATTTTTTTACTATGACACAACATAGTGAGATACTTTGATACCTATATTTCTTAAAGGGATATCAAAGTAACCCCATTTTATGAAAAAAAAATTAAATCTTCATCATGTTACTCTGGTGAATAAAAATATATGGGTATCAAAGTTACCCCATTCTACGTCAATGGCGATATCAGATATCTATATGAAAAATTGTGTACTATGTTGCTTAAACAAATGTATAAATTATAAACTATAATTGTATACAACACAACAATGGTTTTTGTACCAAGTGACAAGTGTGACAATGTCCTTAATCCAACTTCTCATCGTTGATGTCCATAGACGACGGAACCATCCTATGCAGTGTGCCAAACAAACGGTATTTGCAGCTGACTGTTAAGCAGGTACCTACAGTATTTTTTATGAAAATTTGTGTATCATATTGCTTGAAAGCATGTGTAAATTATAAATCATAATAAATTACACAACCATGATTTTTGTACCAAATGACTAATACTTGGTTTTTATCATAAAAAAGCAATTTGTTATCTTTGACGCTAGTGGACTTGTCGGTAAGATACACTTTTCAGGAGCCATGACAACAATATTTTGTATGTATAAGTAAGTTCATCTATTAATGTGATACTTATAATGTTATACTGTACAGGTTTAAAATGTTGGTGGCACGCAAATTATAGTGGAGGCCAATAAAAAGACCAGTACCTATTTAACATACATATAAATTTCAATATTCAATTAAACTTATCTCATCCACTAGATATTTTACATAAAATATATCATCAAAAAATGTACAAAATTGAAAACTTTCGATTACAAATAAGTTGACACGATAATTATAAATTTAAAAAATATATTTACTAGTTTAGTTGCCGTCGACTGCCGCAACGAAAACTGTCGTAACTCAATTTTTACTATTTTTCAGGAGACTAAATCCTCAATTTCAAATTTGATTACTTATTCTTATCGTGGATGGATTTTTACACAAGTTTTAAATGTTAACTCTATAACTAGTGAGGAAACAGATTATAACTAAGAATTTTGAAACAGTTAGAAATGGAGTTAAATAATTTACCTTTTTTCTTAAATGGTTTCAGTTACAACTTTTTTTGACAGAAATATTGTGTTGTAACTTGAATTACAACTGTTTTTGATGGAATTAATACTAAAACTTACCATCATAGTTATTGTAAAAATTGTGGAAAATATCTACAGGTAACAAGGATAAGCTATTTTTATGTTTTGTTTGTACCATGGGCATACTTACGGCCACAGCACACCAAGCATTAAAATTAATTTTAATTTTTTTTTTGTGGCATTTTCATTCACTGTGCGATACTCAAGCAAAGGTTTAGGTAAAATATTTGCAGTACCTCTACAAATTTATTGTTAATGCCAAATAATTAATAATTATTATAATATTGTTAAACAAAATAATCAACACTTAATAAAACAATCCTGTGTTTCTTTAATATAAAAAATTGATTTTGTAGTACTTTTACATATTCATAAATAGTATAAAATAACCAATAAATAAAATAATATTCATAGTTAATAATTAAGACAATAAAAAAAAATTAACACTTAACAAAACAGTCTAATACTTTAATTATAAATATCTGAAATGCATAAATACAATTTAATTATAATAATGTTAACCAAAATTACTTGGCTACTAAAGATTTATAAAAGCTATGATATTCAGTTGGTATTAAACCCATCAGACAGTAAGTATGCTAATTTTGCTCAATCAATTGGTAATTTTTCTAAGTATGCTTAGGTAGGTTCTACAAGAGGTTGGAATCTTCCCTTGTTTTTTGTTTTTAGAATGGATACAATGAATTTATCTGGACAGTTTAGTTTATATTTAATTTGAAATTGGAATGGATTTTTATAGGAAGTTGAAATTTCTTTAATTTGTTACCATAAAGCTTTGCCCATTGTTAGTTTGAATTTTCCAATTCATATTATCATTCTCAACCAATTGTTTAAAATTTAAAAATTTTACAATAATTAACATATTTTGTTTAGCTATCGTAATAATACTTTAATATAATTATAGTAACAATCAGGGCTTGGATTGTATAGCATTTGCTAAATTATTATAGGATACAGACTCGTATTTATATATATTTTTAATTTATAAATATAAGTTTTTTTAAATTGTGAATAAAACAAAATTTCATTTATGCTATTTTTTTCATGTTTTTAGGGCATATTATAGCGCTTGTTTCAGTTATTTTTACTGCTATAAAATCCAAGCCCTTGTAATAATTAACATTTATATAAATTGGTATAAATCAATAAACATTTTTAAGTAATGAGAAACTTACTGAATTTATAATATCTGTTTCACTATTATTATCATAATTTTTAGTTGCATCACATTCCACGATAATAATATTTTCATCAATTTCAGGGTTTTCAGAGTTCTGATCCTCGTCCAATTTATTATAATGGTTAAATTTAATAAGTTATTAAATCAAAATCAAAATTTTATCTTTCAAAAGTATTATGTTTGACGACTTAATACATCTTGTATCATTTTGTTACATAACTAACACAATTTTAAAATTACTTACACTGCAGTTGAAGAGATTATCATAATATATTGTATGACAATATAGTACAATATCGGGACTTTTCATTTGAACTGTATCCCATAGATATTAATATTATAGGTTGATTTCATTGATTTTTCAATCAATTACAGTTAGAAATATAAATGATTACTTACGTTGTTAGGAAGACTACAATATTTCAAATCTTCTCCTACGTCTTCTTCTTGACTATTATTTTGGTTCTCAGCCTATAATATTATAAACAGTTATAAGAATTTAATAAATAATACCTAGTTTAAAAAAATATAATATTAAGTATGCATACCATATTGTCATAGCCAAGTTTAATTATTACTCAACTAAAGCAAATATAGTAAATTAATGATATCTTTGCAATCTACAGAATTACAGGGATTATAATTTTTAATAAATAGAAACCTACAATATATTTTAAGAAAAATATGCATGATTATGTTAAATTGATTCTAAGTAAAAAAAATAGCAAGTTCCAAATTCCAAATACTTGTGGTTCATAATAATATATTTTAATCTCAATAATATTAATAATCAAAGGTACAAATAGTAAAGTTAATTTTTTTTAACTTTACAACTAGGTAGTTGACATGAATTTTAAATTAAGCTAATAATTTAACTAGTTAAGAATCCATAGTTATAACTTAGCTTTTTCCAGTTGAAAAATTCAAAAGTAATTATAGCAAGTTAAAATCTTGTTTTTATGTAGGTATTAACTAGGATCTACAACTTAACTTAAAACTAATTAATTTAATCACTACAGCTAGTGTGTAATAAGAAGGAATAAGATGCATTTTTTGTCAAAATATTTAGTGATTATTTTAAAAATATTGAAAATTATACTACATATCATTATAAGTCTAATATTATGTGACCTAGGTGGCGATTAAAAATAAATACTTTGTTTCTATAATATTAACTAACTCTATATTAAACTATTAACATAATATTATAGCTTAATATTCTTAATGTTGACTTAAAATAATTGACTAAATTTAATTATTTCATTAACTTAATCATTTTGATAATAATAATCAAATAGTAGACAGATAATAATATTTACTACCTTGTTTGTAGAGTAAATATTATTATAATTGACACTTATATGTAATCTGGATCATCATAGTCGTCACTACTCTTGCATCCAAACTCATAAGTACTTAAACAGTCTGAATCATCATTACTTAAAATATGTTTTAATATATTATTTTAAAGTTTAACATTTAGATATCTACAAGTCACAATTTCTTCTTTTGAAGACTTGCTTTTTTATTTTATGCCACTGTTCCTTTAATAATAACAATATCTACCTACGTATATTTTTATGGTAAATAATAATATTATAAAATTATTATCATAAAAAAACTTAATAAAGGGTACTTACTTAATTTATTGTATAAATTGTAGCTTAATATTATTATTACACGCTATATAATAATGAACATAATTAAAATAATAATATTAATACGAGTAATAAAAAACTTAGAACAATTAAATATAAAATTCACATGCTTTAAATGATGACTGATTATACACTTTGGCGGAAAAACTGTAATCAATAACAAAAGTGTTTGACTCACAACAGAGTTACAACATTATTCACTGGG